ATACTAAGACTTGCTGCCCTTGGTCCATTGTAGCCAACATATACAATTGGTTATAGCATACCAAATCTCTCTGAAGCAGCCCACTTTGGCTCAGAATCTGGGCTTCAGCCAAATCCAATGAACACCTAGTAAAGACTAATTATGCATCATATAATCCCCCCACAAAAAGACTACTGTAACACCACTAGAGCTCTCCTTTTCTTTCTACTGCCATTATAGCTGATGCTCAGAGGTTGGGGAGGGGGTTCTTCTTCAAAATGGCACACCAGGCTGAAGCAAGCTATAAAGTTTCATTTTATTAAAAATGAAAGAAAGAAAATGAAACTGGCTAGCCAACAGTGAAAAAGATAGGGGTTTCTGCAATGAACCCTCATTGGCAAGGTGAAATTTATAACAGAAGAGGCTTCTCAAAAAATTCTATACAGAGAAGAGAGGAAATAATACAGAGATGGGCAGGATTACTCAAGGTGATTTGTAGCACACAACTAATTATTTGAGTGGTAAGTTTGTTTTTCCATTTCCTGGTTCTACCTACCCATGAACTACTAAAGAACTTTAATATAAATATACTTTTTTAAAAGTATTTTTGTTCACCATATGATTAGGCTTTTGGAATATGCTGGAAACCTTTTTCTTCACTCAGGCTTTCTACTTTTGTTGTGCTGCTACTTTATCCACAACTGGTATTGTGAATGTTTCCAAAAAAAGGTTTATGTTATTACATTGCTTATATAATGTATTCATTCTTGTCTGCACAGCGATTGGGTGTTGTGTTACTTAGCAGTCAAAATGTTTGTGCAATGAAGGAATAAATAAAATCATTCCTTTTATTTTTATTTTTATTTTTACTCAGCATTGGATTACTACAAACCTCTATCCCAGTGTGCTTTACCAGCACAAGTTGAATGAAGTCTCCAACTTCTTTTTATGTGTCTAAGGTTAGACCTTCTCCTCATCCATGATTATTTATTGGCATCTTAAAATAGTAGATTTTTTATTTATTTTTTGAAAGAGAAAAATAGCATTTAGTATCTGATAAAATATCTGATAAAAACCTTGAGATCTTCAAAAAGAATATATGCATAGACTATGTATCATAGCCAGAAATCTATTCTGTTTCACAGACTGAAATATCTTGACAGCTGGAAAAAGCCAAAGGAAGGGATTTATATGAGCTTGTGCTGAACGCTCTGTTTATTAGTGGTCTCAGACACCCTGTATCCTGAGAGAAGCTGGAAACTTAAAATCAAGGAACACGTTAATATATTAGGTCAGTTTTGGCAGCCAATAATATGTACTAGCTGAGGAAACACTCCTGGAGTTTTGTTAGATCATACAATATGTTTCAGATGAGTTCTGCCTGAAGGCAACACTTGTCAGAAGACAGTCCTAAGGCAGAGAGTGGTACTAGGTTAGGCTTAAAGATATTAAGGTAATGGAGCATAAAATAGTTGCATATGCACTATGACACATGAACAAATGGCCAATAGGACATCATCTTGGAGGTTGTTTCATCCAGTATATGTTCCATGTTATTTCTCCTCTGGAAGTAGAGGCAAAAGCAAAACTTGTGCATGTGGATTCTGTAATTGCAACAAAAATGGTTTTGTTCATGCGGTGAATGCATTAAAACTAAAGTCCAACAGCACAGGTGCCAGATCACCTTCAGGCACGAAGTAGTTTTGTCAAGACTAAACAATGAAAAATGTTAAGGTCTAATAAATCTTCATGGTGGATCAGCACAAAAAGGATTTAGCACAGGTGATTCTGTAATTGTAATTCATTAGGAAAAATTAGCAGAGCTTAATGATCCTGAAACATTTACGTCCACCTGTGTGATGTGCTTGACTAGCATTTGGGAATTAAAACTTGTCGGACAGAAAATCCAGGACCATTTCCAGTGTAACACGTTCTCTTGCCTCCAAGGAGGGAATGTCTGCAGAATACGTGTGAAAAATGTAGAACGCAAATGACTTTTGCAAGAATGATCTGTGAACAGAAAGCTAGTTTCTTGCTCATGAATCTTCCTTGAAAAACCCCAGTGAGTTTTCCATTTTGGTATAACCTTTTCCACATACTTTCCTCTGGGAAGAACATTTTTTTCTGTTAGAGATAGCCAAATGTACTGGATTCCTGTTAAAGTGTTTAATAGTTTCCTCTTAGTGCTTGCCTTGGGGTTTTTTTTCTTCAGGGGGTGGGATGGGGAGTAATTGTTCATATTCTAAATGCTGGTGGTATGTGGATATTATGCATCAGCAATCTGTGCAGTTCTGATTGCTTTATTTTTTTTAGCTGTCGTTTCCTAAATATCACTGCTCTGTGTACATTCAATGGTCATTTGCATACTGTACATTTCTCTACAGAATCGTGTTAATGATACTCAGTGTTCATATAGCACAGTTGCAGAGCATGGTCCTTCCCGACATACCATCCCCAAGTGCCTATAGGCAGAAATATGGGAGTTGGTCATGTCTACTGTGCAGATTCCTCTATTAGCGGTGCTGTGTCTGCCTGGGGGTGCACTGTGCCCCAAGTATTCAAACTATTATCTTACAATAGCCACATAAAACAGGCCAACCTTCTTATCTTCATATTGAGCCAATGTGATGCACCAGACAGCGTGCTGGATTCAGAATGGAGAGACCCATGCTGAAATCTGTTCTTCATCATGAAGCTTACTTGGTGATGTTGGGCTGGCCGCCATCTTTTCCCCTAGCTTACTATGCTGGCATGAGATGATGACAAGGTGATGACTGCTGCGAGCCTGTTCTAGGAAAAGAAGGATACAAATGTCAGAGATAGATAGAAAGATATTCCAGTGTGTCATGAGGCCAAGAGAAAAGTGGCTTGGCTGAGCCTAGGGAATTCAAGACAGAAAGGAAATCTGAACCAAAGACTTCCTGACTCACACAGTTTACATGCCAATCCAGGGCACTATACCATTCCCCCAGCCAGAAGTCAGAGGGAAAAGTCCACAAGATAACAGCCAGCATTGAGATCTTACATCAGTCTATCTAGGCTTGAGGCTGTGTATTAATGGGGGGGAAACCATGAAAATGCATAGCATTTTTGTTCTGCTGATTCTTGTGTGTTTCAGCAAGTGTAGCATAGTGGCTGAGCTGTACAAGTTGAGAAGTCCCTGGCTCCAGTCCTGTTTCTGTCCTGAACTCTTAGCTAGCCTTAGACAAGGCATTTTCTCATCCTCAACCCCCACCTTCCCTCTGCAATATTGCATAGGGGAATTGGGCCCTGGGGCTTTCCAAAGCAGACTCTTCACTGCATGTCTATTGATCTCTCTGACGCGGCTTTGATCTGGAGAAAAACACCGGTGCCTGGGGAGGAATTAAAATGTCCTGCCTGGATGGAGGGTTTGATGGGCGGTTGAAATAGCTAGCCCATCTAGATTCAACAGAAGAGAATAAGGCCTCCCTGGCAGCTCTATGCAATGACTCACAGTACCTCCTCCTTTCAGTCTAGATATGCTGACTTCTTACACAAGTCATGTTAAGTGCCCTGCAGAAGGCATACAGAAGGATACAGACTTACAGCAAAGGTCCGATGGCTCCCTCCTGGCTCCTTCTCACCGCATTCCATGAGGATATGGCTTGTCCACACCCAAGTAAAGACACACACAACCTTTATAGGTCCAGGCAGGCTATGTCACATAGGAACACAGGTGGCTGGCAGTGGCATGCAGTCAGTGGACTATGGGGGTCTAGGCTAGTCCCCTAATTTTCCCGTGGTGCCTCCTTCCCAAAGCCCAAGAAGCTTCTGCCCAGTTTAGGGAGGCGCAATGCTCACATGTGTGACGTCCCCCTGCCCATCAGACTTGCAAGCTGGCACCTCTGGCCCCAACTGTTCCCCTATGAAAAATTTCACCGCATGCCACTTGTGGCTCGTATTAACCATTAACCCCCCCCAGCTATGCCTGGGGCCTGTGGATGCATCAAACACGTATGAGCTGAGTGCTACAGCTACTGCCAATTAGGTAGGGGTCAACCATCAATATGCTGCAAGCAGGGCTTCCAGACCAGCTTCTCTTTTGGCTCAACACATTGTGGCATCAGTATCTTGTATCTCCGCCACCAGGTTAGACATGACCAGGCAGGAAAGCTGCTGCCGCCGGGCACAAGGTGTATCGCAACCAAGGAGGGTGGGTGGCAGCACTGCTCCCCACTCACCTGCTCTCCTCCTCTGAGTCAGGCCTGACCCAGGGGTGGAGCTGCGCCGGGCATGAGTACCGCAACCAAGGCACAGCTCTTTCTTGCGTGGAGCTAGGCTCTGATGAAGGAGCCTGCCGTGGGGGCGCTTGTTTGCACCCTCTGACAAAATTGCGCCTGGAACTACGGACCCCCCTGGACTCCCCCTCATGCTATGCCTCTGGTCCACTCCAACTGTGGAACTTGTTCATGCCTTGGAAGCCAGATATAGCTTGAGCCTAAGTGTCTTCAATTGCCAGAATTAACTCAGAACAATGTTGTGAGGGAGTTTGTAATGTTTCAAGTTATTTAAACTGCAGCCTACTTTGAACTGGAATCAGAGTTTATATTGTTGTTCCCTGACTTGAGTGTTCAGAAAGTGCATTCCAAGAGAGATACATAAATAGAATATTAAGAAAACAACATAATAAAATGCTTCCAAAATAATAGCTTTGCATCTTACTCTGTTTTTTTCATGGAAACCTCTAGAATGTAGAAATGATCGCTGCTAACGCATTTTAATTGGCAACGGTGATTAACCACAATATAGTGATTAGTGAAAAGGCTGCATGACCCAGATTCTTCTTGAGAAGCCCAACACAAAAACTCAATGTCATAAGCCCAACCAACATGGAAAAAATGTAAGTTTCAGTGGAACAAAATATAAAGGACAACAATGTTATCTCGTAAAATA